AGCGTGAATGCACTATGAAACAAAAATAGTAAAACAATTGTCAGACTGTGGTAAATTCTGCTCATTGCCTTGTTTTCTATCTAATCAACATTTTACTAGTAATTATCAATTTGTTTCACATTTTTAGTGCATAAACTCTATGTTGCAGTTCATATTTAAAGAATATCAGTCACTATCAGTCACAGTCCAGGGACTGTTGATGAAGGGGACTGCTCGCAGTTGTTTGTGAGCATATCACGTGCAAATTGAAGACTTCCACGTCCTTGTGTTAGCAAGCGCACAAGCAATGTGTTTTTGTCATCATCTGTTAGGTGTTGAATAAAGTCCTGTAAGAACAAATGTACCAGTTACAAATCAAAATGACAATCAAGAYAATTAGCAAATTATGATAAAAAAAWWWTTGACACAAATCATAGTGAACAGCAGTAAATGTCATATTGGTCGAATGTAGATATTTTGAGCTAAAGTTGTTTTCATTGAGAAAGAATGAAAGTAAACAGATTCAATCATTTAGTCTTGGACTGATAACAAGTAACTATGCCTTGGWGCATTATTTTCTGCTCTCTTGAAGGATTTCAAGTTCATCTTACTGAATACTACTAATGAATTAGGGAAACAGATAAGATATTTTTTAAATAGTTCTTGCCTTTATTTCAGTCTCGGCCCTTTCCAATTGTTCTTGGTGACGTGCAAAAGCACTAGGGTTTCTGTTGATAGCTTGATGGATAGTCTTGTTCTTACACTGGGACTTCGCAGTACCGCAACGGCAGTTTTCACAACATTCAAGATTAGCGGTCTTGCATGGACATCCTGCACTTCTCGTTGTTCTCCTCCTGCTGCACGTATTTTTACAGGAACAGATCTAGAACGACGAAAGTTATCGAAGAGTAACATGTGCATGTTTTCGCCGTGATAGCCATTTTGAACAGATCATAAACTTTTCAAAAACTACAAAAAGCGAGAGCGSTACATACCACTCGATCTGCTGCTAAAGTATTTTCTTCGGAGGCTGTCGGCTCGAGAGATAATACGACCGGTAATACGGGAGCTCGATTTTTACACGCGGCTTGTGTTGTTCCACACTTACACCTTTGTGAA